ACACAACACAATGAAAACACCCACTGCACTCTTAGTAGGAGAAAAGGGTTTTCTTTTCCTAAAGATATGCTTCCCATAGCTTTTCAAATTTATTTTAGTTTTCTTCTTCAGTTTCTGATCAAACCCTGCCCCCACACTGGTAGGTCAGATACTTCTAGCAGCTAAATGTTTCCTTACAGAGAAGCCTGGACTTTACAGGACTACTAGCCACCCATGGAAGTACTCTCCCTTATCCTTAATGGAATAGCCTCACTTTAACTCTAAGGTAGATCTGAAAAATCTTTAATTGCTCAGATGAGATCAAAAGAGACTCAGAGAACACAAACAGCTTGCTAAAATTTATGAAAATGGCATTAATCCAGAGTGCTCTGTCTGCAAGTCTGATGGTCTTCCCATAATGACGCTACATATTCCTGCGGTGCAGAGTTTGGACCTGAGGATGGTTCACTATCAAAGCGCATACAGACAAAGGGATGCAGAGTTCAAAGATAACAGCAAATACCCTACTCCATATCAAAGATCTCCAAAGTTCAAAGTCAGCACAGTTTTTGCACCAGTTAGACTATGTCAAACACTGTATGTTTCTGATATATTTTTTTTTTCAAATCTGCTAACAGTTTATAAGGACTATTAGCATTCCAATTTTCCAACTGAGAAATCCAGGTACTAAAAGTTAGTTAAGTTCTCGAAGTATGAAGTACTAGCTCCTGATTTGAAATTGTGGTTTATCTGTTAAAAGTATACACTCTACATATCACTGTGAATGCCAGAGCTACTGGGTGGTGAAATTCTAAGGAAGGAATTGAGTATCTTTGCTTACAAAATATTCACTCCAAGTTCATTAAAGATGAAGTATATTATATGGCATATTCATTTAACAAATGAAGAAATTTAATTACAGAACTACTTTTTATAAAGGAGCAGTATCATTTGAACACACACATATTTTGAGGTCTGTTACCTTTGCTGAGAAAAGCAATGAAATTAGTACTGTGGGTATTGTTTTATAAAAACAAAACAATTACTAAGCTCTCTTGTGGTACCTATCAGAAACATCATGCTCCTCAGTTAAAGAGGAAAGCACACGGGTAAGAGATAAGCAAAGGGATGCTGTCGCGCAATAGGACTGATCCCCCAAACCCTGCTTTGTTAAGTGTGATGCTGCTGCCAGCTAAAATACATATTACAGCCTTCCAGTCCAAGTGCTGCTGACAAGTCAAACTTCTTCTCCAATATTTCGCCAGTGTCCTAAAGATCGATCGGAAAACCTACGTGTCCACAGAAAGTGTCCTCTCGTGTCCTGTGTGCCTAACATGGCAGCTGCTGGGCATTTGGAGAAGACCCCAGCTCAGAGCATCCTGTACATGGCCATGGCCTGGAGCCACACAAGGAGGCTCCCTCATCCGTGCGCTGTTTCCTGGTCTCTAACCTTCACCCTGTACTGCCATCTGTCACATGGCCAGAAAAGCAGGTGCCCAAATAGAGTTTCTTGCCTTGGTGCCTGTGCCCCAAGCAACGTGGAATGTGTCCTCACTCACGCTACCACACTTGTTCTGCATGGCATCCTCATGGCTGGGACACCCCAGGCCAGATTCTTTTTTTAATTAATTAATTAATTAATTAATTTAT